ACTTGTACGAGGAATCCCACAGAACAATACTGTATATTGATAGCATTATGTTTCGATTTCCCAATGTTTCTCTTCCGAAATTAATTTCACAAGTTTTTCTTTAAGTTTAGCAGTATCACTTTTCAACACTTCCACCTTGCATTTATTCAACTTTTTTCTTCATTTTTCATCCTCACTTTAAAGCTATTAATTTCTTTACATACCGAGTCGAGTTTCTCATACATTGGATTTATACCATTCATAATTAAATTCTTTATTTCCAAAAATTCTGTAGACCTCACTATATCGTCTCTAAAACTACTCTATTTTCAAAAGCACATTTCTCATGGAAAAGCAACGCCATTTCAGCTTGTTTTTCTACTTCGCTAGAACAACCAACACTGCCAATTTATAATTCACAGTCTGATACAAAATTTATTGGTTTCTGTAGTTTTAAGGTTTTCTAACCAACTTTGACTGCGGTTTGAGCATTTTATGGGGTACTTGGCAAAATATGTATCTAGAATGAAAAACTTTAACCTTCTATTGCCCCCCCCCCTCATTTTAACTCGAAGTCTCCCATCCAAGGACTTGATAGGGATTATGGTATTCTTTCTCATGAAAGGAACCGTTGATTTTTCGATGTTGTGAACTTTGGTTTGTGAATCTTCATTAATTTCAAATCCTTGTTTATTATATTGTTAACTGTACCAGGAGATATGCCCAGCTTCATTGGAAAGGTTTTTGTTTTGTTTTTTTGTTGTATGATTCTCTTTCATAACCACAACGTTTAAGTCAACACCAGTTTGACTAATTTTATGTTTTTGTTTGTATACCGTTCACTACCGGTTGGATCCATACATAACACCATTTTGACTAATTTTATGTTTTTGTTTTTATACCGTTTACTACTGGTTGGATCCATACATAACACCATTTTGACTAATTTTATGTTTTTGTTTTTATACCGTTTACTACCGGTTGGATCCATACATAACACTATTTTGACTAATTTTATGTTTTTGTTTGTATACCGTTCACTACCGGTTGGATCCATACATAACACCTATTTTGACTAATTTGTAGCTTTTGTGTTCAAATTACAAAACTAAATTTAAACCTCTTAAATATAAAGTAA